ACCACTTACGGCCTGCTGCGCTGCTGGAGCTGATGTTTGACGCCGTCGAGAAAGTTGAAGGGCCGGCTCCAAGCCGTTTTATGAGCAAGGAGCCTACTGTTCCTGATGTTCTCATGCCAAGTGTTCTACCAGTAGCGCACATGCTGCGAACATCAGGTGCCGTGGGGCTGCATCGCAGCCTCCCACGCAGCCTCCCAGCTCAAAAGGCGGCTGAAGCTCATCGCGGAAGGCAGCAGCTGCTAGGCCGACGCGCTGAGTGCGAGCGTCCTCGGTTTTCAGCCTCAGCTCTAGCGGTGTCGTCGCCTGTGACACAGAGCCACTGCCATTGGGAGACGGAGGTGAGAGCAACAAACATTGGCATCTACCAGCGACGCCTGCAGCACCGCTTAGCGGGATCGATCAGGCACCTCGTTGGCGCTCCTCAAGCCTAGCGGCTAGCAGCGGCTAGCAGTGACTGTTCACAAACGGACTGGAAAGCGCCGGTGGCCTCGAGGAGGGCACGCTGCCGACCTGACATGTGACCAGTCATGCCCAACACGGCTGTAGCGGAAACCTCTCGTGGGCACGCGTGCTCGAATGCACATGCTGCTCACTGAAGCCCTAAAGCCGAGTTAACCCTCGATCCCAGGTGCCCTTCGCGGGTAGCTGATGCACCGCTTTCTGAGTTAACATGCATCCTACGTTGCCCGGCCTCCAACGACATGCGCAAGGCCTGCGGCTTACACAGCTGCTGAGTCTGCGTGCACCTCCTGATGGCGCTGCCTTGTTTTCCCATGGCGAGCCAGGTGAGTGGTAGGAGATGCATCCTGAAACGCTTTGCTAAGACACCCAACCCACAAAGCCCTCAATCCGCAACCCTGAAATCCCAGACGAGGTCTCTCGTCCTTCCGGCGGAGTTCGAGTTGCGAGAGCGTATCATGCAATGCATGAACGACCCATGCCACGCTGCTCCGTACAGCCTTTGCCCGCCGGGTCTCACCTTGCATAGCTAAGGCTATAGTGACTATTGCGGTGACTCGCGAAGACATTTCAAGTTGACCGGAAGTGCTGAGACTCTCACTTCCAGACATACTGCGTAGACGAGAAGGGATTCTTGCCAGCATGCATGAGGTGGGAACATCGAAGTTCAGTCAATATTCCGGTGTGGCGAGAACGTGCGGCGGTAGTGGATCGATTCTCAGCAAGTTGGCAGCTGTCGCAAACTCCCGAATCCGAAGTTGAATCTCCTGCAGTGCGCCTCCGCTCCGGCCTCATAAGCTCCGACTCGGCCTCTTCCCGCGCTCTCTACTCTAGCCACTCCGCAGCGGCAGCGCAGGCAAAGCAGGCAAGCTCGGAGGTCGTGCTGGCTGGGCGCTCTGCTGCCGGCAGGTGCTTGCCAGCGCGTCACTCCCCAGACCGCCCGCGCACTGAGCAAATTGCTGCAGGAATGTGGGACGAAGGGCCTGCGCATTTCTCTGTGAAGTGCTTCGAAGGGCACCGAGACCGAGGGCGCTGAGAGTGCGCATGTTGCACAGCTGCAGCTCGAGACCCAGAAGCTCCAAGAATCTCCAAGAGCCATGGTGCTGGCAGCACCTGGCCACAGCCTGCTGAGAGCTCCGAAAGGCGGACTTCTGCGTTGGGTTCCTTTTCGTCAGAGACCCGTCTGCCACACCGAAGTTCCGCCGAAGCGTCGGACGGGCTTCTCGCCGTTGCCAGCAGCTGCAGGACGTGCTTCTGAGGGAGCGGAGGCCGAGCAGAGGCAAGCAAAGTTGATGGGTGAAGCTGAAAGCTGGAATGGATCGGGTTTCCTGTTTGGTGGTGGGTGGTGAGGCTCATTTCGAAGGGAATCCTAATTGTTTGAGGAATTTATTTTGTTTTTTTTGGGTCTTTTTTTTGTTTTTGTGCGTGTTTGCTTCTGCCTTCTGTTGTTTTTGTTTTTTGCTTGGTGCTTTTTGTTTTCTGCTTTTGCTTTGCGCTCCGCTTTCTGCTGCTTCCTGCTCTCTTTACTTTTTTGTTTTTCGCTGTTGCTTTCTGTTGTTTTTTGTTTTTTGCTTGTTGCTTTTTGTTTTCTGCGTTTGCTTTGCGCTCCGCTTTCTGCTGCTTCCTGCGCTCTTTACTTTTTGTTTTTAGTGTGTTTTGCTTTTGCTTTCTGTTGTTTTTGTTTTTTTGCTTGTTGCTTTTTGTTTTCTGCTTTTGCTTTGCGCTCCGCTTTCTGCTGCTTTCTTTGCTTTTTGTTTTCTGCCTGTTCTTTATCATGAACCTCCAAGCGAGTCTGGTTTGAGGAGCCTGTGACCAACATGTTTTCTGGTTTTCCCTGCATCGCAAAGCTTGAGCAAAGCTTTGGCAGGGCAGAGTCTGAAAGTTGCGGCATTCAGAGAACGACCAATCTTTTACGCATGTGTGCATATGAATGTAATTCGTTCTCGCACTCGTGTCTGTTTCTACATATTATATCTCTATAACTGCATCTACACATACACATATCAATATCAATCTCTATACCTGAATCTCTGCTAGATGTCTATAAAGCTGCATCGTTGTATAACCCTACATTTCTATCTCGCTTGTGCTGAGCTGCCACTGGCAGGGGAGGCGCCGTGGTAGGAGGGATGGGTGGCAGCGACGAGACGCGGGCGGCCACCGCGACCCCGCCATGAATCAGAAGCACAGATGGTTGTACTTGTAGTAGTAGTAGTAGTAGTAGCAGGAGTAGTAGCAGCAGTAGTTGTAGTAGTAGCAGCAGTAGCAGTAGTGGTAAGTAGCACGACATCATTCGGTTTTCGAATATTCGCCAAACCGCCACTACCAGCACGGCAGTACCAGTATGCCAACAGTCTTGGTGAGCAATGTTTTGTCCTCTTGGAACCAGTAGTGCTAAATTGGTAGAGTAGTCGTAGATGTTTTATTCTGACAGTAGAGCTAGTGCGATGATTTGGAAGTAAAGGAGCACAGACCGCTTGATTGATTCTGTCTTGGTTCATCTTGCTTGCAGAATGCGATCACCGACGGCATGTCCGCAAAGTTTGCACCACAAGGAGACATCCTAGGCAAAGTGTAGACAGCTTGCGCACCCTTTCCGAAAGCGTCAGAACAGAAAGAGGAAACAGAGATTCTGGAGGCACAGCGAAGCACCCGAAACACCAAAGCCTAAACGGATGCAAGGTCACGTGGCTTAGAAGCTCTGGCTGCAGGTTATGTTGTTGCTGTAGTTTACGGCTGTTGGGTTTGGCCATGGCCGGCAAGAAGCTGTGCAAACTGTGCGACAGGAACGCTTTCTTGCGCAGAAAAAGGACAAAGTGCAGGCCACACAAGAGGCCTTTCAGGCGGCCAAGAAAACGCTGCCCAGGCCGGGCCATGTATCCAGGGCCTTTCATGCAGCATGTTTGTTACGCCCCCGTTTGTGCCTTGGCAGGTGCCTTGCCATATGTGACTCGTGTAGCAGGAAGTATGAACCTTCAAATGTATGGTTGGGTAGGAACAGCTTGCAAACGGATTGCTGTTTAGAATCAGTCCTAAGGGGGCTGGTGCCACTACTTGGGGGGCTGGGGATAGATTAAGAATTGGCTGGTGGGCTAGCAAACAACACATAATGGGAAATCCTAGATGATTAAGTATAACATGCAAGCGAACAGAAATCATTGGTTTCACAAATCGGAATGCTTCATTTTTGCACGGCACACATGTTGTTTTCTGATGGCACGAGTCGAAAAGTATGTGCATGTGTTGATGCAACATGTGGTTGTTTCACTGGCAGGGTGAGCGGCTATCGTTGCTCAGTGGCCACTTTACATGTCTTCTTCACGGCTACCGTTTCAGTTTCACATCGACAGATAGCACGAGTCATGTTGCGCCGGCAGCTGAGACGTTGCTTGATCTGGCTCAGGTCATGTTACCACAGCAGAGGGATTGCATATATGCTTGTTGCAGTGTCGTGGGCCAACACTTTAGCAGTGAGTTGCCAGGAGTGTCTCACAGTTTCACGTTCATTGGTTGCGTTGGTACTGGAATCTGTATTTTAATGGTGAGCAGCCATGGCATTATCAAACACGATTGCTTCCAGGCGGCTCAATTCATGGGCTGCTGGTATGAACACTGAGGTCTCCGGCGAGAGGGTCTATGGCAAAGCGGCGCTTCAATCATTGCTTGTTGATATTTTGGTTTCCAAAGGTGAGGCACGACGGCTTGCAAGCAGCAGGGTTGGTGCTAGGCTTGCAGCGGCTTCTCGGCAGCTTAGTATGAGAATGATTCGTGATTCGTGATTGCATGCTGCACATGCTGCATGGATGTCCACATTTGCCTGCAGATCTGTTTCGCTGTTTCACCGTTTCACAGGCATGCTGCATATGTGATCATGAGTGCATACGAGCAGAAGAGTCCATCACAGTTTCACCAGCATGCTGCATGCACATGCATGATCACGAATAATCACGAGTGCATATGAGTCCATGGCAGTTTCACGCGGCATGCTGCATGCATGATCACGAGTGAAGTTTCACCAGCATGTTGCATGCATGATCACGAGTGCATATGAGTTCATCACCGTTTCACCGGCGCACCATGCATGATCACGAGTCCATTTGAGTTCATGTGTTTCACGACCACGTTTCACTACCGCGGCATCGGTCACTGTCATGCTCGCAACCACAATGTTGTGAGCAGCCTAGGTCGAAACAGTGAGAAGCCGTTTCCTGAAACACAGTGATGTCCAGATTATTCTACAGGGGCTTGGCCTTCCGTTGATTGATTTAGCGCATGGCCAGCCGCCACAGACAATTGAGGAGGATGATCATGAATCTGAACACGCGGTTGTGCCTGTGGAAGTGGTTGATGTAGATGCAGAGCCATCAGGGCCATCAGAATCCACGCAGCAACGATTTGGCGCGCAACTTGTTGCTGCAGATGCGGCTGGGCCTGGTGGCGGTGGTGGTGATGGTCCCGGTGATGGTATACTTTGTCTGGTTGAACGTGCGCCAAAGAACAATTGGGGCCTAGGGCGGCTTCCGCAGAAAGATTTGTGTGTCATGACCGAAGCAGATTTTCGTAACATGACTCACGCACGTGCTGCTGTGGTGGGTGCGCAGGCTTGCAAGAATCTGGCGAGGGCAGTAGCTACTTTGGCACAAGTGCGCAAGGTCAAGAGACAAGTTGTGGCACAGGCGACCAAGACAAGCAAACAGTTGAAACTTGCGCAGGATTCGCAGTCGCAGCAATCACCGCTTGAGCTGGTAGTGTCTAAATCGGGCAAGCGATTGACATCTGAGTCAATCCTTGCACTTGGTATACGCCGCAATCTGACTCATATTGCAGCAGCAGATGTCGGGGCGATGCTTTTGAGGGACATGAGTGAATCCACAGTTCTGCGAGCGGAAGTGAGAACAGGCGCATCAGTCAATGCTTGCATGAAAGAGTTTGCGAACAATGCTTTAGCTGAGCTGAGAGCACCAGCTGCAGACGGTGACGGTGGCCATGACCATGCAGATCGGGATGATGCGCATGTATCTGACGTTGACCTTGCTGACATATCTTATGGCGGCAAATGGAATCTTGTTTTCATCAGCGTGCGAGCTGACGCAACAAACAGCAATATCTGGAGACGTGAGAAGCTTCACGTTTGTGAAGCTCAGATGGGCTTAGTTTGCAAACCTGTGAAATCATATCCTCTTCATGCTGAAGACTTTCTCCACACCAAGCGCTGCCTGCGTCAGCCTCAGCACCGGTTACGATTACAGCAGGTTACATCTTCAGTTCTTTTTCTTGTCGTTGTTGTGGTTACTCTTTGTGTCAGGTCAGACCTCCAGGTTGTGTCTGGAAGTACAGCCGAGCATTGCGCTGGGATCATGCAAAAGCAGTTGAACTCGATTGGCGTGCCATCGGTTGCTGATCTTCTAGCGGATATGGACACGGAGAAGCCATGACTCTAATTAGTTTGTGTCGCTAAGTCTGTGTAAGTGACTTTATGATTTGTTTGGCAACCTCTGCGTTTTGTTTCCAATCTGAGAGTTCAGGAACTCATGCCTCAAAGGCAGGTCCGTGATTGCCTACTTGGACACCACTGACAGAGGAACTGACCAGACGGCACGCAAGAAGCGGACTGCGTGCAGCGTGGGGTCAGTCGACAACCTGGTGTACATTGCGTCCGATTGTTACCTACACGTTTTCCACTCGGCGGTCCGCAGCGGCTTGGTGTTGACAGACTCACTCATTAGTGAATGTTTCAGCAAGGAGGTGCTGGGTGGCTTCGACAAGTACTACGCGAGCCTAGCCAAGCTTGTGAATGTCTGGAGGGAAAAAGCAAGTCAGGTGATGAAAGCGTGGGATGATCATCACGGCTCCAAAGACGCTGATACGCGAGCTCTTGGATCACGGTATCCGCTGAGTGTATCCAGCGGGCGTTGGGGATCGGTGGAAAATGCTGAGGAATTTTTGATCGAGAGAGGGCGTCCATTGCTTGAACCTTGCATTCTTCAAGCGCTATCCAGCGCCATGAAAGCTGATGTTGGTGCACTCGCTGCTGATGCTCCTGCCGATGCCAGTTTCTAGCTTCAATTTTCACAGTTCGACTAGTGGTCTCACCCTTTGACTGAGGTGACCGTGACGGTCCGTCACGGTGTAGGTTTTGTTTTCTTTGGGTCTGTTCAATGGAGCGAGAAGTTGTCTTAGAAACAATGCAGAGTGTGAACAGTGATGTGATGATGACTCTAGTATATCAAGGTGGCCAAGGTGGCGAGGATGCGGCAGACCATGCCATCGTGTTGGACGATGTGAAAGAGCATGAAACGGATGCCTACAGGCTGAAGCTTTCCAAATGGAGCCAGAGCGCAATGAACACTATAACTTCTCCGATTTTCTGGTGCTTGCTCTATTTGTGTCGTGCGCTGCGGAGTCCTTTGCGGCATTTCATGTTGTTCGTCCAGAAGGGCGCAAAGCTTGGCGATTGCATGTTCCGGCTTGTCACCATGAAGCTAGACGAGTTCACTGCAGAGTTCAGTGCATTGTTTCAGAAGCTACCAGAAATTGTTGACAAGGCGCTGCAGTTATCAGGCTGTTTCCACGAAACAAAGGGACTTTCACACGCAGACATTGTCCGCATGAGGTATCTTGCGTTGAGATTGTTGCTGTTGCACTGGGCAGCGTTTCGTCGTCGCATCATCAGACCTTTGCGGCAATACCCCATGAAGCTTTTCTGGTTGATCAAGAGCCATCCCAAAAGGTTTTGCAAACGCAGGCAGCAGGTGGCTGAGGAGTTGATTGGGCTCGATGCACATCAGCTTGATTCAGCTACACGCAAGATCCGAGAGCTTTGTTGTCGTGAGTTGCAGCATTTGCGGATCACTGGCGTGTTTCCCGACGTGAGTTCGCCATCTGGAAGCTTTCTGTACGCATTCTTGAAGGGTCTTGCACGCATGCTACCTGCTGACACACAAGCAATCGAGGGCATAAACAGCTTGATCAAGTTGATGGGTCGGCGTGCGCCGAACATCAGTCTGGAATTGATGTCGTCTAGGCTTGCCATCCGGCGTGCTTTGAGTGAAGATCACAGTATGGCAAGGAAGAAAAAATGGTCGGCTATCAAGAACACGGCGGAAGGGCTAATGAAATCAATTGTTGGCTTCAAGACGGCGTCGCTCGCCATCCTATCGAATGATGGCAGATGGTCTATGCCTCTGCCTGCAAACTGCGGTAGTGGCGTGTTACCGGCAGTGCTTGCAATCACGGACCGCGAAGCAGTGCTTTCTGTGAGGGGGCCAGAAGATCAAACAGGGTCATCAGCAGCTTCATCAGCAGAAGCTGGACGGGGCCAGCCGGGAAACTCATTGCTTGTAGCAGACCTTGCCAAAGCAAAATCAAGCAGTGGCATCTCATGGGCGAAGTCATACAACCTGGCGTGGCGTCGAGCAACTACATCATCCACAAAGAAGAACAAACAACAGGATGCTGGTCACAGAGTGGGTTCAGGTTTGCTGATTGCAGTCGTCGAGACCGACGGCGAGGGCAACGATGGGCTAGTGCAGCAGCAGCAGCCACCATTGTTCTTCGCAGTGGCAGAGAAGTTTTCGGTAAGCGTGATGTTCTCGAAGATTCACTGTGTGCAGATCAATGGTCATCCGTGTCTTCAGTGGGTTTATGAAGAGAACAATTGCGTTGAATCCACTTTGTTCTTCTTGAGTTTCTACGGTGCCTGCTCTGGTCGAGGCTTGCGCTTGCGAGTGGGTTACGTAGTGTTGTCGCCAGACATGTCTCACCTCCTGCTGCCTGGCTGGAGAACAGATGCAGAGGGCGAGGGTGAGATAAGAGTGGCTTCGGTCCTACAATTGGTGAACCATGTGTTTGTCATGACTGCTGAGTCTCACCCGTCTGCGGCCAAGTCGGGGAAACCACAATCTGGAAGGAAGGCCAGAGCAAAGGCAGAGGCAGCAAAGCGCAAACCACAAGCAAAGCAAGCAGGTCGCAAGAGGAAGGATGCGCCTGAAGCGGATGCAAACGAAGCCGACGTGGATCCACCGAATGTTGCGGATTACATTGATGATAATGATAACTTCCTCGACGATGTCGAGGTAGCCACTGATGCTGAGGACTCGGATGATGACAACACAGCACAACACGAGATGCAGGAAATCAATGAAGCCAGCGCGGCTGCTGCCACGGATCCAGCTCGCCTGCCATCGTCGAAGAATGTGTTTGCAGTGGCTGAGGATATACATCGCAATGCCGAGCTGATTCCAGACGCGGCTGTCGAAGAAGAAGCGTTGTTGCTTCTGGTTCGTAGGGCTCGCTCTCAGAAAGCCAAAAACATGGGCGTTGGTTGCAGATCTACAGGATCTACAGGACACGTACTTCCGGGCGAAGACAGCACTCAGCCTCAGCCTCACATGGGCTCACAGCTTCCAGAAGAGTCCGGTGAAGTCATGGGTGAAGCAAGCTTGGCGAGTCAGCGTGAGCCAGTCGACACAGAAGGTGTTTTGGGGGATGCACGCAGCGGTGCTGATGCCTCTGCGTCGGATAATGAGTCTGACATTGAGGCAGAGCTCCCACATGACATCGCTGCTTTGCTCAGATCGAAGGCAATGGTAGATCTTCAGCGTGACGGGCATGTCCTGAAACGATGGGTGATGGCATGTCATCTGATGCTTGAGGCAATGCATGAGTATGCGAAGACCAAGGACGTGCTGTTGGGGACAGATCGCAGCATCAGTTTGGTGTTGCTCAAAAGCATGGGGGTTGCTGCAGCGGGTTGCAAGTGTGTTCGCTGCAAATACACAGATGACTCTCAAGATCTCATATGGGTCCATTGGCTGAACAACGGGAGGTGGCGCAGCTGCAGCCAAGCTAACATGTAGCCGGAGGTGACGGAGTCTACTACATTGAGGTGAGCAACGCAGGAGTGAGTTGTGTTCATCCGCTTTTCACTGTCTCACCGTCTCACCTGACTGTTTCACATCGCTTCGCAACCTAACAAACTTGACAGAGCAGCTAAGGCATGGCTTGATTGGTCGACAAGGACGTGAAGTGAGATTAGATGACAACGGTAAAGTTTTGTTCTCTGTGGCAGACTGCACGATGTATCGCACTGGCATAAGCAACGGCATCGGCTATCCGGAGCTTTGTTTGGACGATCGCCATGCTCATGTTCTGCTACCGTCTGTTCGAGCAGCAATGCGTAAAGTCAAGCGAACCGACCCCGATCGAGATGCAGTGTCACCGCACTTCCTGCGGCTCCGAGACTTTTGCGAGTACATGCTGACTTCAGTTTCACAAAGCACGAATCCAACCACGGACGATGAGATCCCAGACGAGGACCGGTGATATCGCAGCCACGTGCCACATGCCATGCCATGCGTTGTGCAGTGCATAGTGCATGTCAGCATGTCAGTCTGTGCAGTGTACCGGGTAGCGAGAGGAGCAAGAGCAACATATCATTGAATCATTGAACATGGAAGTTGTTCATGGCGTCATGACTGTTGACCGATAAGTAAGATAGAGTTTGTGAGTGTCAGGACACGCCGTTCGACAGTGGTATTGTTCGCTGCGTGCTGTGCCAAAGGAACGGTGCAACACGATGTCCATTCTGTTGCCTAGGGTTTCACGCTATCTGTGAGCGCAAGCTTCTCACGATCGGCCAATCGACAGGCTTGATGGATGTGCTGGCTAGCGCTGATGCGGGGCTAGTTGAGTCGATTCAGAAGAATAAGGTTCCAATGCCTGTATCGCTTCCCGCCGAGAACGATTGGTGGAGTTTGCTGACCGGCAGCGGTGCAAAAGCAGCAGCAGCGTCATCATCATCGTCAGCAGCAGGTGCAATGCAGCAGGAATCTCAGATCATCAGTTGGACGGTTGGACGTGAGCAGCTGGTGTGTGCAGTCTGTGTGCAGTCAGGGCCATATCAGCCATGTCACTATGTACTATGCACTATGGACTATGCACGGCGTATCAGGGGTATCACTGGGTATCACATTCCGTGGACTGTGGAGCTTGACACAACCAGTGCGTGCAGTCATGTCAGTCTTGCATGTAGCGAGTATGTTGACATGCTCTAAAGTCAAAAGTGAGACACACAGACACATATTTGAGGCGGCCGACCACTTGCGCCTGCGCGCTGTGCTCCGCAACAATCTGCGGCTGAGCCGGGTCCTTGGCGATGAACTCTTGAATCAAGGGGACATGTTGCTGACACGTGGCATGCGAGTGACGTAGCTGCGAGGTGCACATGGCTGTCACAGTCACATGACATGTGATTCCTGAATCGTTGCTGCATTGCTGCATGTTGCACTTCGTTTGTCGACTGCACAACTGTACCGTCTTCCGAAGAGAAAGGCTCAGGGTAGGCTTTGTGCCAGCTGAAAGCAATTCACGTTTCATGGTCCATGAGTCCATGAGTCTCACATGTAGTCATGAAGGATAACACGACATGTGTTCAGGGAAGTTCAGGGCCAAAGGGGCCAACGACTTAACCACTGTGAAACTTGGCTGTAAATCCAGAGTGTAGAAGCTTCCAGAAGCCTTTCGAATTCTCCATCTTTGTTTTGCTGGCCGGCGCCATCATGAGTTTCACGCCACCTCCTCCGCCTCCGGCCGTGCGGCCGCAGAGACGGCCCTTCCATAGGCTTGCGGAGGCACCAGACCAGACAATGAAGGCGGCGCCAGCCAGCCCTTACATGCCGGGGACCCCATTGCCGGTTCATCTTCGATTTGGCGCCACTGGTGCCTGGAATCGCAGCAGCAGCAGCAACGAAGTTGCACCAGATGTTGCTTTTGCAGCTGCGCAGGCAAAATCACAGCCACAGCCACCGCCATTCCCACCACCAATGACACCACCGCCCCACCCACCACCACCACCACCACCACCACCACCACCACCACCACCACCACCACCGAAAGCCCCATCACCACATGCAGCACCATCACCATCACCACAGCCACCATGGCCCGACCACTCGCAGCCACCTCCGCTGCCAAAGGGGGAACCAGCCAAAAACCGCGACCAGCTGACCCCCGAGCCTCAAGCCCCGCCGCAGCAGAAGGCCATGCCAAAACGTCCGCCATTCCCACCGCCTGGGATGCAGCCCGCGAAGGACAGACCGGTCACGCCGGCCCCACAACCGGCACAGACCCCACTCACGCCGGTCCCACAGCCGGCACCGACCCCAATGACGCCGGTCCCACAGCCGGCACCGATCCCAATGACGCCGGTCCCACAGCCGGCACCGATCCCAATGACGCCGGTCCCACAGCCGGCACCGACCACAACCACGCCAGTCCCATATCAACAAACAGAGCCGGCCGCACCGACCTCAAACGGGGAGCGGGTCTCACCTGTGTCACCGCCCTCCTCACCGCCCTCCTCACCCGACCCGGCTCCAATGGAGACACCAAGGACCATGCGAGTGCATGTTGATCTTGTTGAATTTTGTGCAGCTGCAGTTCATCAGTGCATGAGTGCATGAGTGCAGTGCATGTGCGTGTGTGTGTGTGTGAGAGTCGCATGTGTCGTTGTCGTAAACGGTTGCAGTGCTGGCAAGTGCAAACGTTCAGGACGTCGTACAACGATCTCGATCGGCAGCCACAGCTCTATGCCGCGGTGAACATGGGCGGTGGTGAGAGGCTGGATCTTGGAGCTGAGTCTTTATCTGCAATAAACGCATCGAGGCAATGCAAGTTGAGTTTGATGAATCAACAAGTGTTCACGCCCACTATCCAAGGACCTCCGGGAGGCAAAGGCCAATGCTGAGGCAGCCGAGGCAAGGTATAGAGCCCAGCAGGCTACTTTGGTGGCCGAAGCAGAAGCGGCTCAACTGGCAGCTGCCAGGCGGGCAGACGAGGAAGCAGCGCATGCCGAGGCTGTTCGGAGAGCCCAGGCTACTTTGAGGGCCGAATCAGAGGCGGCTCAACTGGCAGCTATGAGGCGAGCAGACGAGGAAGCTGCGCTGGCTGCTGCGGAGACGTCCTTGCGTCTGAGCAGGGAGCGGCAGCAAGCTGAGGAGGCCGCAGCAGCTGCCGCGGAGAAGAGGGCGGGCACTCCAGGCACAGCGCCTGCAGGGCCTGCTTCTGGCCATAGAAGGCCTGGCTCACGGGCACGATGTGGTCCGCCTCGCAGCCGCCGACCTGGATCGGGGCGCCGCAATGGGCGCAGGCGCCCCCCTGCCGCTCCAGCAGCTGCCTGGTGGCGAAGGCGCAGCAGAAGGTGTGGGAGCTGGCCCAGGCAAGAGCAGCCAGGATGAAGGCTGAGGCTGAAAATGCTGCGGCTGCAGAGGCAGCAGCAGCCAAGAAGGCACCGAAAGAGCCGAAAGAGGCTGCGGCTAAGGCGGCTACGGCGAAGGCGGCCAGAGGCGGACGACGCAAGGATGCCCAGGGCGTCGGGGCCGAATATGCCGGCAAGGTCAAGGCTGCCGAGAACAGGGGCCGCGACAAGAGGAAGAGGCAGGAGTCGCTGAGCCCGCTGCGGGAGGATGAGATCGAGTTGCTCAGGACGCACAACCTCCTGGAGTCACCGGAGTCGTCTTCGGCATCTTCCAGCTCCTCGTCGAGATCTTCGTCGTCGAAGTCTTCGAGGTCTGGGAGTTCGGGCAGCAAGGTACCGCAGCTGCATGGTTCGTGTGTGGAGCAGAGTGAGTCAGTTTGCAGTGACCAGTGACCTGGATATGTTTGTCATGTCAGCATCAGTTTTGTCAGCCAAGACAATCGAGCGACACGCCACCAAGGCCGCGCCAAGGAAGTCCAACCTGGCAAAGAAGGCTCCGTCGGCTCCGTCCAACCGGGCAAAGAAGGCTCCGCCAGCCAAGGCAGCGAATCAGAGCGCAGCAAAGACACAACATGCAATCCATGCATAAACCATGGTAGGGAACACAGCTGGAGGCACCGAGGACGGCGCCCAATAAGGCAGAGCCGTCGCAGCCGAGCAAGGCATCGTCTGTGAGCGCAGTGACGTCATAGCATGCACTCAAAGTCCTTTTTGCATGGGACACGACTCCAATTCATGATCAGGTGCGGGGTGAGAAAAGGGCAGCGGCATCGACATCGCCAACCGCACCTCGGCAAGATGTGCACATGGTCCTCTGCGCATGTGATGCATGTGACAGCCCGACACCAATTCATGATCAGCTCCACCGGTGGAGGTGGATGAGGCAATGCCATCGACAGCCGCACCTCGGCAGCATGCGCGCGCGGCACATGCACGGCAGCTTGTGATTGTGGACGCTGTGGGCTGCGTTGTGTTGAACACATGACATGGTGACATGGAGATAACGTGTAACTCAGGAGCCGTCTGGATCCAGGACACGCCGGCCACCTGAGCCTGAATCTTGGTTGCAGTGCAGCAATCCGCGTTCGACAGTGCCAGTGTCACATCGCATGACGTTTTGTGTTTCACCGTTTCACCGCTGTGTTGAATACCCAGGACACAGACAAGAAGCACAAGCGGAAGGCGGCCAGGAGTAGGACTCCTGCACGGGGTGGTCGCCGTGACAAGGCGTGAAGGACCACTGGCCATCGGCGAAAAAAGCATGTGCCACTGCATCACTACCTGTGTGCGGAATGCATCCGAAGCAAGTCGCCACGCACATGCTGAAGCAGTTGTCAGTGTAGAGCTCGAGCCAGTTTCAATGATCGCTTGCGCTTGCCCAGGTCGTGATGATGATGATGATGTTCCAGGCGGACCCGTCAGTTTTCATGTCATGTGTGTTTGTGTGACTCTGGCATGTGGCTGCGTTGAGTGCACGAGGTCTCACAGTCTCACAATTACATGACATGCTGACATGATCAAATGCGTGGCTAGGCAGACGCTTGCATCACATGCCGTGTTTGATGTGATCTCCGGCGCTTGGTAACTAGCTCATGCATTCACTCAGTACACTTGCTGGCAGCGCATCCGTTTCACAAAAGCATCAACTGAATCAACAAATAACAAATCAACACAGACACAGATACAAACAACCAGATTAGCAATCATCACAAATGTACAGACATGTAACAGCAACCAAACAAACAATTAACCAACAACAACAGCACAACATGGCACAACACCGTAGTTCAACAACAACTCACACCAACAAAAGCACAAACACAACAACAATTTATAAATGAAGACCACAAAGAACAATAACAAATGTAATTCAACAGCAGCACAACAAAACAAACAAAATCAGCAACAACTACCACACACAACTGAATCACTTGAAGTTCACCTCTGCCTCTTAGAACTACAATCCTGAGGGCGTTGGGTTCCCCTTAGAACTTCAATCCTCAGGGTGGCCGGGGTCCCTTAGAACTCCAATCCTGAGGGTGGCCGGGGTCCCTTAGAACTCCAATCCTGAGGGTGGCCGGGGTCCCTTCGAACTCCAGTCCTGAGGGTGGCCGGGTCCCTTAGAACTCCAATCCTGAGGGTGGCCGGGGTCCCTTAGAACTCCAATCCTTAGAACTCCAATCCTGAGGGTGGCCGGGGGTCCCTTAGAACTCCAATCCTGAGGGTGGCCGGGTCCCTTAGAACTCCAATCCTGAGGGTGGCCGGGGTCCCTTAGAACTCCAATCCTGAGGGTGGCCGGGGTCCCTTAGAACTCCAATCCTGAGGGTGGCCGGTGTCCCTTAGAACTCCAATCCTGAGGGTGGGCGGGGTCCCTTAGAACTCCAATCCTGAGGGTGGCGGGGGTCCCTTAGAACTCCAATCCTGAGGGTGGCCGGTGTCCCTTAGAACTCCAATCCTGAGGGTGGCCGGGGTCCCTTAGAACTCCAGTCCTGAGTGTGGCCGGGTCCCTTAGAACTCCAATCCTGAGGGTGGCCGGGGTCCCTTAGAACTCCAATCCTGAGGGTGGCCGGGGTCCCTTCGAACTCCAGTCCTGAGGGTGGCCGGGTCCCTTAGAACTCCAATCCTGAGGGTGGCCGGGGTCCCTCAGAACTCCAATCCTGAGGTGGCCGGGGCCCTCTTAGAACTCCAATCCTGAATGTGATCCCTTACAACTACACCCCTAGCGAGTGCATACGCGCCCACACGTAACAACCACATAACAAAATAAAAAACAAACATAAATCACATGAAAACATCAACTCAAACCTGTGAATATATTAACATAATCATATAGATTAACATCATAAACACCATCACAATATGAAAAAAATCTTAAACCAACAGAAATTCATTATCAACAACAACAGGAACAACATCAGCAGCAACAACAACACCACCAGCATCGACAACAACACCAACAACAACAACGTATGATCAGCACAACAACAAGGGTCAAACCAACAGCAACACAGCAACACAAGCACAATTCACCAACAAGACAACACACGACATGATCAGACATACTTCATCAACACCACCAATTATATCATGACTCAGTGCACAGAGTGTTCACGAATACGATCTGATCAGGACCAATCAGTGACTTCGATGCTCACTTCGGCCGGCTCAAGTATGCAAAGGCAAAGGCATGCAGCCAATCTGTTTGTTAGATTCATTTGCTTATGTTTGGTGCCGCTTGGTTTCACACCTGCCACGTGCATTCATGTTATGTCTTCTAGCGTTCAGTGGCTGACAGCTGCATTACATTGCCATGACATATTCTTGGTGCTTGTTTAGTACACATGCATTCATGCCACGTTTTGCAGTGCTGACAGATGCATGACTTTGACCTTGACATGCTATGTTACTGCTATGTTATTATGTTCTCGGTGCCTTTTCACTGGCTCATGCTTAGAGCGGGACAATTGCTGGCAGCGCATCATGTTAATGTCTTTTTCTCACCTGCTGAATCACAGTCGGTATCAAAGTATGTTTGCATTTGCATATTGCATGCATGTTGAGTCACAGTGTAGTGATAGTAGTGATAGGAGGCCAGCACGTTTCACCTTGCACACACAAGCTCCTGGATTTGGTGTTACTGGGATGCCGCCGAAGGGAAGGACACCAAAGGCCACAGCGGTGAAAGCTGCGCCCGCCAAAAAGAGACCAGCTTCTTCGCCGGCCAAACGAAGCCCATCCAGAAGAGCGGCCAGTGCCAGTGCCAAAACCCCAAAGACCGATACACGCATGACTGCGCCTACTCGCGAAGGAATGTCTAAATTCCTGGCCAACTGTCGACGTCCTGGGCCTGTGACAATGGTGACACCGGCAACTTCGGATGATACCGACGACATAGCCCCGCATGTGAATGTGTCAGAAACTTTGTCCGTAACAGCACCGACTGCCTTTGCCAGTACTTCGGAAGCAATCACTCCTACTCACACTCCTCATGAGGATGATCCAGAAGTTGTTTCAGTGACACCGGCTGCTACCTCTACCAATGCTTCGGACACAGTCATGCCTACTCACGCTCCTCATGCGGATGAGCCAGAAGTTGTTTCCGTGACACCGGCTGCTACCTTGATCACTGCTTCGGCTACTTTGGATGCAGTCACTCATGCACACACTACTTGTGCGGATGAGCCAGAAGTTGTTTCTGTGCCGCCGGCAATCTCCGCTTCGCCAGCAACGCCTCCTGAGCCTGAGCCTCATGTACCAGAAGCTTCATCAGCATCCGCAAGACAGATTACTTCTACTGATGTACCCGAAGGTGAAACACCATCCGTCGTACCCG